GCCAAGCACTGCAGACCTATTACAATTGCTATTGTATCTGGTTAAACCACGAGTAGTAGTGTTAATGCTTTTGGTTAATATTCTAGCAATGCTTTTTAGCACAAAAATGGGAAACCTCTAGTCTAACTTTCATGCTATGGTTCTTGAAATTTAATGGAATATTCAGATATTTTCCTTTAATATGATGGGAACAGATATTTTGGTGATGATACTGCCTTTCAAATTGCCATTGGCAACATTGATATTGATACAATGGAACAAATTGATAACTATAACCCTGACACTGCACAGGTAACATCTTTGTATTCAAGTTATGTGTTAAGATTTTAATATGGGTCTGAACATTAATGGAAAAATTTGATTGAATGTTCTCTGCAACAGACTTGGCAGTGAAAGCTATTCTGCTATTACAGAGACTATGCTCCCACACACATATTTCTCATTCTTTGTACAGGTAAAAATCTTACTTCTCATAGCATTAGACTTTAGTGTTTGTTTTACTTTCAGACTTTTTTTGGTAAGTCCTTAATACTATTAACAGAGGTAACTGATTTAAAAAGAAAATTGTAAGAGATTTTAGATTTCTTCCAAATATATTACTCTGATGAAAGTATTTTCTGAAGTTAGGTTTTCTGAATAGAAATAAAATTTGAACTTTTAATTTTGTCTAAGATTAGTAGTTGGTCACTTGCATCATATTGGAATGAAGTCATGGCAGTACAAAAGAAAAATAATTTGTATGAAAAGCATAAGAAATATGGGAACAAAAAATGTGTGTAGAGTATGTCACTAGTTGTTGCACAAATGTTAAAATGTATTTGTATATTAAATCAGGCAATCGTATATAGAGGGCAGAATTATAAACCTATGTCTTGTTTTTGAATTTTTTTTATTTTTTTTTTTAGCCTGTACAGCAGAGAAGTTGTGGCTGGAATGACAGACATGCTAATCATGTAAATAGCATTTGGAGCAGAGATTACAAGATTGGCCCTCATGCAGACACTGTGCCTCATAAAATGCATTTACCAGAGAAACCAACAACCAAAGGCATGGAGAAGATAATTAGTATTAAAGGGCTAAAACTTCCAGGCAAAGAGCTCTTGGCAAAAAGGCCAAGGAGTGGTATGTTTTTATTAAAATAAGTGTATAAATAACACTAGAAGGCTGTGGGGAAAGAAAGGATTTTGTCTTGGACTTGATGGCATGAAATTTTAGAGGCCTAACTCTTTTATTGTCTGTATTCTGTTTTCAACAAGCTGAAAGACTAATGAACCATAACATAACAGCCTATGTAACGATTAAGGGTGGCAGCACACTTTCAGCAGCATTTGATTTTAACTTCCTTATGCTATAAAACTTCAGTGTTTTCAATTTTAAATTGTCATGTTTAATATCATCTGTTCTATTTTTAGATATTTTTTGGTTTAACTTCCATTTTATAATGGCTTGTGAAAAAAATAGAAACAGTCTGTTTTTCCTGGAGTTGATATTTAACCAAACATAAAATATAAAGAATGTTTTCTGCATGTATTTCTGCATGTAAGATTGTGCTGCCTGTATCCTCTGTGTAGGTATTCTTTATTCCAACTTTCTCTAGTAAATCTGTGCTGTCTTGTCTTTTATGCCACCTAAGTTATATGTGCTGAAATAGACTGTGGGCTTGTAATAGAAGGAGCACTTCTTTGTTCTCCTTGTGCTTTATTTGACAGGTATCTTCACTTCCTCTGCTTCCTTTGCTTTCTGATTATGCTACTAGGGCCCCTTTTTTGCCTTTGTTACTCCCGATATCTTCCTACTCCCTGTTTTATCAAAATTTGTAGTTAGTTTAGAAACCTGCCACTAAGTAAAATCTATTTTGTTTTTGAAGTGTTTAAAAAAACCCAAACAAATAACAACAAAAAAAACCCCCCAAACAATGTCATGTTTCATTTCAGCTGTTCTACTTTCACTCCATCTACTAACTTTCCACAGAAAGTTACTTTTAAGGCTGTGTACTAGAAAACAACTGTGTTAAGACTTCTGAACTGTAATGTCAAAAATGTTCCTACCAGATCTTACTAATACTTTTAAGCCTGTGAGAGTAAACGAGTAATGCTCAATTCTCTCATAACTGATTAATTCTAAAACATGCTTCTGCAGTGATGCTTAAATTGTCTTTAGATTTAGAAGATATCTCCGATGGAGATCTGTTGGACCAATACTCATTTTCAAAAACAAAGAAATTCAAGAAGGAGCATGATGATGGTCAAGCACAAAAGAGTGTTTCAGCAATACAAAGCCTTGATTCTTCAGGGAATTCTGTCACTCAAGAAAGCTCTAACTCCCTGCCTAGAGTTAGAAATAAATTTGCTTCTTTTCTACAAAGGAAAAACAAGGAGATGGATGCTGTAATTGTTCCAGGAACAAGAAGCAGGTATGCTTGCATCTCATGTTTTAGTAATTAGTACTATTTGCTGTCCCGGTTGCTGTAATAACCTGAATACTGAAAATAAGAAAAATACTACCTTGGACCTTTTTATGCAACGGCATAAACCTGTAGACCCGAGCTGAGATGGAGAACCCTTTGTGCTAGGCATGCCATCTATGTATGAGATAATATAGATAAACTATATCAATTTGTTACTGCAGAAATAAAGACTGTGGGACTATTCAATACAATCTAGCCTATGGATATCAAAATTAAATAGGAATTGACCATATTTCTTTTCCAGGGAAAGGCCATATCACATCTCTCATTTAGTTTTGTGCCAAATACATAAGCAGTTGCTCATACAGTGACTTATATTGATAGGGGTTTTCTTGTTTGTTTCAGTAAAGCCAAACGTGGTCATACTGTATAACAAATACCTGTTCTTATCTCTGCACCACCATTTTGAGAGAAAGGACTTTGGGTTTTTAGGTTTTTTAATTGCCTGGGTTTTTTGGTTGCATTTGGCCACATTTACTTGAATTGGTTTTACAAAGCGTTATTACAATCATGTGTCTTATTGTGTAATTTTTATCTTAAAAAATTTCAACATTTTTGAGCAGTGTAATTTTACAGAACAGTCTTAATACTGCTGTGCTTTAGGTTTAACACACACCTTCCTGAGCTGAGAGTTGTTACGTTGCATTAAAAACTAAGAGTTGTCAGAGATGGCAGCTTCTCTAAAGTGATGCTCTGTTTATTGAAAAGTTCTGACTTGTACTTAATCATAGGAGCTGCTGTTATAGGGTGGAAAAGAACTAGATAGGTTCTAGTTTCCTCGATAAGAACTGGTGAAGTGCTCACTATGGTTCAGCTTTATGATAATTAATGCAAATATTCTTAAACTTTATAGGATTCCTACATGTTTCTCTTTTTCAGATGAAGAACCTATTAGTATTCCGGTCAATGAATGACGTATTTACAGATGCTTTTTTTTCCTCCCCCTTTTTTTACTGTTATCTGTTAAATGCCTTCTTGAGGGACTAAGACTTTGCCCACTGTCAAAATAATTTGTGTCTGAAAGTACACTTCAAAAACCAAATTGACGGATAGAGACAAATATTGGATTTTGGGGATGAAATACTCATTTGCAGTAACTTTCTTCTCCGTTGCCTTCACCTTTTTTCACTTCTTTAGGTTTTTCTGCAGTGATGCAATTATGTTTGGTACAGCAAAGAAGGATGACGGTGATCTAACTCAAGATGCTGAGCAAGATTGCCAGCAACAGGAAGTTAAATCTGTAGCAGAAGACGTTTCAAAATTTCCAGAAACTGAAAAATCAACAAGGACTATCTTTACACCTTCTGGAGAAACACAAAAAAGTTGCTTCCAGTGGTTTAGCAGCCTCGTAAATAATTCAGGAAATCCTGGTCCTTCTCCTACTGTATCTTCACAGCAGTTTCACCAACAGAGACGCAACTGCCTGGTATCCCAGGGAGATCAGGTTAATGAGGTGCAAACAGAGAGTGGGGTGGTATGTGACGAATCAGAGGAGGAATCCTCCCCCTTAGCGGAACTGGAGCAGTCACCACAGTCTCAAAGGTCTTGTGAGCCGTCAAAATGCACTCTGGGTTCTTCAAAAATACCACAAGCGTCTACCAAGAGTTCAGATGCAGAAGTAAGAAAACTAGTTGTTTCAGCATTTACTGTCACTTTAAATTATATACCGTGCAGATTACGTAGTTTGTGCTAACAGAACTTGTCAATGCTGAACATAGTTGTGTAGGATGAATTGATTTACTAGCTTAAATCAAGTCTGTTCTCTGGTTTAATTTGTTTTCAGTCTTTCCACTGCTCTCACTACAGTGGGTTGTAAAAAAAAAAAAAAAAAAGAAAAGAAAACAAACCAAAAAACAACTGGTAGGCTAGTCTTTGTTCTCTGCTTTTGTTAGTCTCTGAGTCCTTTCAGAAAGCATGTGTGTGTGTCATTGTATTGTTGCTTGCTGAAAATAAGCCCAGGTTTTTCTGCATGTTCTTAGAGTTGATGAAAACCAGTAGATATAAAAATATACATTGTGTTTAAAAAAAAAAAAACCAAACAAACAAAAAAACACCAAAAAAACCCCCGACCACTACCCTACCCACCAAACTTTTAAAACCAAATTAATTTTCTCTTGATGAAGGAATCTGATTCCAGTTCAAAACTGCCAGATGATCAATGTACTTGGTCTGCTATTCAAACTGACAGAAAAAATATAAACATAAAGACCAAGGTAAGAATTTTTTTTACTTTACTGTGGGCTCTACTAAACTCTGAAAATCAGTTTTTGCTGTGTACTAGTTCATTCTAGAACTCTTAATCTCTCAATGAAAGACTCTTAAGCAACACATATGTTGGCAAAAGAGCACTATATTCTTATTCATCTATATCAGGAATGAGATGAACTATAACCAGGCCACTGCTGATTGTATCACAGTTACAGCTTGTTTGGGGATTTTAAACACTTTTTATAAAATAAGAAGCTAAGGCAATAAACCACTTCTTAATTTTCCTGAGGCATGCTAAATACACAGGTTTTATGATGCCAATTGCTGTCATGTTCATAATCCAGATACAGTCACAAGACACAACCTCATTTTATTGCTTGTCTTGATAAATCTGCTACTTTAGCAGTCTCCTTCCTTTTTCATAACAAAAAGTGTGTTTAAATTTAAAAATCTGGAAAGGCTTTAGTCAACCTTCTTGTTTAATTGCTTTAGTTAAAAGCCTTGTTAGACAGTAACAAATCAATACAGAAAGGACAGTCAATTTTCCTTCAGAGCCTGCATTTCATTTTTTTTTTTCTATTGGCTGGGCACCCGTAATTTGACTTCTATGTGGTTTCTTAGATGTCTAAGAAGAAACTTCTGTGCTTTGTCTTTGTGACATTTCTAAGAGCTTTTACCCATTTGTCTAGCTTACAAAGCTTCTAAGACCTTAGCATCTAAAAGTGCTCTAACTCTTTAAGGCACTGTCATTAGAACTGGCCAAAAGATTCATAAGTCAAAGGAAGACGCTTCCCTCCTTTTGTGTACACCCCTACTAACTTCTTTCTTAAGGACAGACTGAAATCACAAGTGTGTCTGCCAACGAGAATACTGTGTGTGTTTTGTGTAATAGTGACATCTTGTGGCTATTGTTAGTCGCTTCTGTGTTAAGCTGGAATTTACATCTTTATTCTGGAACACCTGATTACAAGAATTTTCATTAGACTAACATTTTGCCTGCTTCTTAAATCTTCTTGGGATGCAGAATTTTATTACTTTAGTTTTAAGAATGTATTCAATATGTTTTGTTTAGTGTTTTGCTGACCTTCAAGGTATATTGGGAGAATGAATATGCTAAATATTCACATGAGGAGTACACAGTATGGAAGTACTGAGGTAATATAAGCATCACATATAAACAAATTTTCAGGATGCTTGGAGCTCTTCAGACAACAGGAATCTGATGAAAATCCATGAGGACAGTAGGCAAGTGGCTAGTGTGGGGATTTCCCCCACTTATCTCCTTGGCCATGTATTCCCTCTGCTTCCTTTATGTGCTGGTAATGATTGAGGTGGACCAGAAAACTAACCTGGCTGGAAACTAACTTGAGAACAACCAAAAGGTCAGTCATATTGGAACTCTGGCCCACCCAGACTCTCAGGCTCTCAGGAGTTGTAGAATCAGTGAGATCACTGGAACAAGTAGCCAGAATTGAAGGGGAGGAGGTAGAGATAAGGAGCTCAGTTTTTGGCTCAGTTTTCCCTTAGGTTCGGTTACTGGTACTGTAAAACAAGGGAAATCTTTGCTAGTGTTAAGTACATTAAAAGATACCAGAGGGAAAAATAAGTTACAGATCTAGGGAAGAAGCAGTAAATCAATTAAAACATAAATTATACTGATTTAGTAAGCTGAATAACATAGCTGATCTGTAGAGAAATTTAATAAGTGGGGGAGGCAGTCTGGGTAAACTATCAACTTTTATCATGTTTCCAATCCAAAATGCCTAGCTAGTCAATTCTAAAATCAGAACTGATAGAAGCTCTTCTCTAACAGATGCCTAGAAGATAGTGAGCTCTCTAGGACTTTATATTTTTTTTTCTGTGATATTATTCCAGCTGTGGTTTTTACTGCTAATTATTTTCCACAATTGCTACAAGCTCAGTAAAGAGGCTAATATTGACAAAAGAGGAAAGAGCAGTCTACTCTGGTTTTAAGTTTTTTAGTGGGTGTTTGACATGCAGCTTTGCCTATTTTTGAGTTAGTTAAGTTATAACTGATGTAATTCAGTGCCACAAAGAAATATACAATTATGGATGACTCCATATGTTTTGCAAAATGGCTGAGGTGACAGATAAACAGCAAAATATTACAAGGCAGGGCATTTTAGGATTTTATTTTTAGTCTTCCTAGTATTCTTGTTCCGATTTTTAGGCTACATTTTAAACTTGAGTGGTTTTGTTTTTTTTCTTCCCCAAACTCTATTTGGGATTCCAAAATCTGCTTAGTCTATTCAGGTAGAAACAATGTAATTTCCCTTAAAAAAACAACAACTATGTAACAAGTGTGTGTGTGGTGGAGGGATGACAAAATGCAATGCTGTTTTGGAAAGAACTGAGGTTATGAATTCTCTTTGAAGAAAAGGCTACCAGCAACTTTTATTTTAAGGAAAAAAAATTGTTAGGTGATCAATAGCAGATACTTGGATGAGGAAGAATGATTTGCATTAGTTAAGTGAAGCACCTGGAGTAGGAAGAGCTCTGCCATCTTTCTAAAACAAAACAGAAAAGATAAGTAATTTAGAGCAAAATGCTTTATTCTTAGCATTATCCAAATGTGAAATATGAGCATTATTTACAACCTAGGTGTCCTAAACTAATCTTATGTAGCCAACTGTAAAATAAGAACTTCTTACACCTGCAGATGGTAACCATCTCTTCTGTGGGTATTGCATTTTGATAATTATGTTTTGGTCCTTATAATGACAGACAAAAGCTAAAATAGCAGGCTAGAAGCGAGTGATCACTTAGAAGCTGGTAACTGTGAGTAGTTCCTATTCCACAACGAAGTGGCAGAATGCCTCAAACAGTAAAACTTTCTAGTGCTTCCAAACGGCTTCTTCCCAAAAAAATGGGGGAAAGCATGTGTAAGACAGAAGAAAATGATGGAAAATATGAATAAGCCGTTTGGCCTTTTACCGCTTGTGAACTTATTTGGCAAAGAAAGTTTTAACTTTGTCTAAAAGTACATTACATGTATTTAGTTTTTGTGCTATGATTATTCACATTAGTACAAATAGGAAGAGAGTGATTAAATAGATAACAATAGGTATAACTTTTAATTTATGGAATGTGGTAAGCTACTCACAGAAAAAACATCCTGCAGATCTGGCTTTAGTGTATTTCTTCTGTTTTTAAAATAAACTCATTACTTTTTGTGCATGAAGTTTGAGAAGGCAAAAATTATGAACAATGTTGTGTCAGCATTAGAAAGCGTGATGGCAGCAGTCTGAGTAGCTGTCAGCCTGATATTGACCCCAGAAAAATGGTAGGAATATAAGAGATTGCAGTTAGGGATAAGAATACAAAATGTAAAAATCACACTTACTGACATAACTGTAGGAATTAGGTAATTTCAGAATAAGTATGAAAACACAAATTCAGTGCTTGGGAACTTGATAAGTGAATTGAGAATGAGGCACACCATTTTTTAATAATAGGGCTGGTGAATAACTAGAATAAATTTTGTAATGAAGCCATGTATTTTTCTTTTAATTGTTTGTATTCATACTTAAGGCTGGTCATATTTGAATGGGATATTCTGGCCAAGCATGGCTGTTTTGAGTTCCAGGTACAGAAACTGGATAAGAAGGTCCACCTAGAGGTCTAATGATCCTTGGGATAATCATACTGATATCTGTGCTCTGCTTAGATTTCATGAAAAATGGAGTCAGAGGTATCGCAGAGAAGTGTGATATCACAGAGTAGATTCTTAGAAGGGTTTTTGTTGTGCTTTCATGTAAACAGATAAGAAAATAAATGTTTAATAGATTCTAAAAACTGCATTTGAAAGAAATATGTAATTGCAACCTCTTAGAATACACACACCTATGGAAACTGTTTTGCCAGTTTGTACAGCTGCATTGTGTCTAATGAGTTTGAGATGCCATTTTTTAGATTACAGAAGCTATCTAAATATACTTTGTTGTGGCAATCTCAGATTGCATTATCCCAGCACAATATAAAGCATTTTATTTTTTTTACTGTAAGCTTTGCAGCATAGTATCTGTTGCTTACAAGTTGTCATTTTAACCATTTGTGCTTTAATATTAAAATCTCACAGGTTCCTGGTTTACGTAAATCCAGTTGTGTAGGGTCGCGTATTGTAACAAAGCTCAAGCCATTGATACCAGCTAAAGTGAGCGGATTAAGCAGGAAACTGTCACCTGTGCAGAAGAGGAATCACTGTGATGCTGAAAATAAGCTGGGACTACAAGCTGCAATTAGTGAACTCCGGAAAAACTTCCAGTTTAAAAGGTGAGTTGCTTTAACCCTTTACTTAGCATCCTGTATACTTTTTTCCAAAGAAACAGTTTTCAAAGCAGACTCTGCACGTCTCCTTTGTACATAACATTTAATACATATAATAGCTTAAGACAGATACTTTCTACATAGAATTTTTAATTTCCCAAGCTTGATATAACCATGAAGTGTGATTTGTGGTAAATATGCTCTTCTAATTGCTTTTTTCTTTCTAACCAGGAAAAACTCTCAGCTAAAATTCATTTGTTGAGGTAGTACATTTAGTTTAACATAATTTATAGGAAAATCATTACCATTGTTTGACATCAAATACCAAAAGGCATTTCTTAGTTTAAATGCAAAGTCTGCATAAAAATTGTCAAACTTACCTGAATAGAAGCTTGTCTCTATTTAACTTTATCTACCTCTCACATTTTGACATGGCTGATTTTCAGAACAGTTCTGCTTTCCATATGATGCTAAACAGATCGAACACTTCCATTAGCTGAAGTCTTCAGTTATGAGACCTTTTTATGCATCATAAAATGCTATTGTTTTCCTTTGTGCAGATGACTTGCCTAACTCAAAGTTTCTGCAGATATCTTCAAGATTTGAACTTGAAGGACAATTATTATTTTAAAAAACAAAACAAACAAAAAGCTTCACATGTAGTTATTTTAACTTACACTATTTCCATGGGCTCAGGTAAAAACTGGTGGCAAAGCTTTCCCAGCTCCAAGTAGCAATCTCAACTTTGAATAAATAAGTCTTATTTAAATAAAATTATTATTCTTGTGAGTAGGACAAAAGTGTTGTCTTCTCACTGAGAAGTAAATATGAAACTGAGAGCATATGTTGTTAGATGAATATGTTTTAGTAAGTTTGGTCCTTACAGTAGTCTATTATAAACATACAACTGAATTCTTTAAAAAAAAAAAAAAATGTTACTTGCTCTCCTAACGTTTTTAGAAATCTTACTTTTTATTATCCTCTTGATGGGAGTTTCAAAGAGGAAGTGAAACTGTTTGTGTATGTATTGCTTGACCTCAAATTGCAAATGTCTGACCAGGGTTCTTCACGGGGAGGAAAACTGATATGTTTTAATTTCTCAGAATATAGGCAGATAGAACAGAGTGAGCCTAGATGGCACTCTTCTTTTTCTTTGCTGATGGTTGAAAGTCTTAGTTCCCAACATCCACATTTTATCCATCAATTTTTGGTAGGTCTGTAACTTCTGGGCACATACTGGGGATATGTATATATATTTATATATATTACTTACTTCCATGTAAATGAAGTACTTGTTTATTAGCTTTTAGCAAATTATTTTCTTAATTTATTTCAGAAAAAGGTTTTTCTCACTGCCAGGACAGACTTAGCTCTGAGTATTCTGTTTATTAGTTTGTTTTGTTTGATTTTTTTTTTTTTCCAGATTTCAAAATGTTTTTAAATTAGCCTTATATCTTAAGAATTATATTGTCTGTTGGCAAATAAATCATGGGGGACACTAATCTGTTCTCTCCTGATGTCAAGACTCACAGGATATATATGAAACTAGTTATTCAGAAGATGTAAAAGAAGCATGTACACCAGAGTAGGATGTGGTACATACAGTCTTTCAGTTATAAAGCTAATATCTGTCATTCTGTCACAGCATAACTGGAACAGTTGAAATTACTTTCAGTGAAGTTGTTCAGTGGTAGTGAAATTGAAATTAAAACTTTCCATCACAAATTTTTCATTTCGGCTTATTCATAGGTGAGAGAGGGGTAGTTAGGTGAGGGTTCTTGCTTTGTTTTAACCCATATGTTGTTACAGGCCTATGGTTAGAAACATAATATCATAACATTCTTGGGTTTTGTTTTGTCTTTTTTTTTGTGCAGAGAGTATGAAAGACTTCCTTCTTGTAAAAAGTCAGATCCATTGTCTCCAATCAAAGATAACATACAACTCACTCCAGAAACAGAAGAAGAAATCTTTAATCATCTGGAATGTAGCCATGTTCAGAGAGCTATATTCCAATGAACTGTATGCTGTGCACAACTGGATCCATTTTTAATCACTGTCAAAATTTACCTTCCGGATATTTCATCAATATAGAAAAGATGCTTTGAAAACCAACTATATATTTTAGTCTGACTAGTGATTTGTCATTGTTTTTTATAAAAGCGTGAATTGAAAGGTAGAGTTCTATACTGCCTGGAATAAAATCCTTCAGATGCCTGTGTTCTTATTCAAAGTCCCATGCTAAACTTTTGTCCAAACCTCTTTCAGCTGCCCCTGGGCATTTTATGTAGGTCACATATGCCATCCAAGTTTCTGCAACAGCTATGGCTTTGCCTTTGTATATCAGCAGCAGAACAAACTTGTGTCTTAACTTTTAATAGTTGATCATTTTTTTGCCTGTTCCTTCTTTCCTTTTGAACCTAATCTGGCTCCAAGACAGTAGTAAAACTGCTGTTTGCTGTTCATAACAGCCTTCGCTATACTTCCAGCACTCTATTTATTTTCCCTGTAAGTTAAGATCTCTCCCAGCAGTTAGCTTTCGGTTTGATACAGTCATGCTATCGATGGAAATAACTTGGGGACTGCAGAAAGCAATATCACAAATATTTTGTCCCCAAATTCTTACATTAATAGAATGATCTCAAAAAAAAAAAAAATATAGTATGTTCCTCTGTTTTACCTGCTCTTTCCATGTTTGTAGTCTTATCCAACTACAGACATGCGAAATATCAGTCCTCAGAACTAAGGGTTACGAAAGAGCATTGTCCTCACAACAAATCAAGCTTCAGTCTTCAACATCCAATCAACTAAAAGGAAAGAATCCAGGAGAATAGGGCCCTTGCCTTGGATGCCTACATTAGAATGAAATACACTTCAGATTTCTACCTTTAAAATCAGGATTTGAGTAAATGTACAGATATGCCTGAATTTTTTTTTCCTTTTTTAGGAAAGGATAGTATCTCTTTCTGCAGCAAATGAAGGTACAAAAGGATATCTTAACCTGTGAAATATATCCTTTCCATTCCTGAGATTAATACTTTCCCTCCATCTTTAAACTTTTCACTAAAATTTAAAGTTTGAAAATGATCTGTAAGAGGCAGGGTATGTTGGGGGGTTTTTTGTTTTTTGTTGTTTTTTTTTTATTACAATGTATTTTTTTTTTTCTCTAAGAATTTGCATCTATGAAACTAAGGTGACTGGCTGCGTTATATTACAAGGAAGCTGCTTACAGGAGTAATTATGTGCACGTTTGTGGGAGCAGTCCTCTTATTTCTACATTTGTGTTGAAGGTATGGGCTATAAGGAACTGAAGCAACAAGGATCTAGGACAGGCTTCCTCTTGTATGTGTGCCACAGAAAGTTCCTATTCCAGAAAAGCACGAATTTTTAACATTGATCTTCAATGAGGATTTTTATCTCTGGTATGATGTGACAAATAGAGGCCAGGGATAAATGTTTCGGTGTTTCCAGTCCTAAAACTATTCCCTAGAATGAATTTTTATGTGTTGCTACAAATATGTTAATGATGACAGAATGATTTTAAGGGAAAACAAAAATAATTTGTTTTCCTCCATTAGTTATTGGTGTGAGAGTTGCAAGGTTACTTTGTACGATCTATCCTTGCCTGTTACCTGCCTCTTCAGTCAAAAAGCCACTTGTTCCTGCTTTGGTGGCTCATCAGAAGAGACAAACTACTTGTGTTTGTTTTTTCAGGGACGGGTAATTTGAAGGGAGTATAGGACATCTTACATGCAAGCTACATGTGTGAAAGCAGTACTACCTCTTAGTTCTGTTGCCTGCAAATACTGCCTTACCTGTCCTTGTAGTTCATTTAATGAAAATACCATCACTTGTTTTACTCTAGCTTATTTGAAGAGAGAATCAGAGGAAATAAAGCAAATGTTATGCATATATTCATATTGACACAATTTTGTCACAAATGGGTGCCCTGGTTTTTTTCCTGTATAGACAGGAGAGTAAAAATACAATTGACAATGCCTTAAAAGGCATGGGAAATATAATGACTTTCTGGAGTGCTATTTCAATGGTAGGTATTAGGGGAATTATTAATGCAAAAGTGCTTTTTTATTGTATTATTTTGGATGGTCTTAAAGTAGATTTCTTAAATACTTCTGTATAACTTCTGGTTTGTGCTTTGGAGGTCTTGGGTTCTGATGTGACATTATAAAGTATTATTTTAAGAATGCAGCTAATAGAGTAAAGGCCTCTATTACATTTTATGTAAGTATATAATACATGTAAGCATATATAGCATGGAAGTTTTATAGTTAAGTGTAGAATTCTTGTGTTGGTGTTTCTTTTATGAAAGACATGATATATGCAAATGAATATGTGCAAGACTGTATTCCTTAGGTAAAATTGACTCTGGGTAGGGTAGTATTCCATAGCAAAAATTATTTGGCATCAGAATAGAAGAAATTGTTACAGTTCATCATGGGGTGGGAGGGGAAGATAAAATAAAACGTGCCCCAATGAAAAGAGTAAGAAAGAAAGAAAAAACTTAGAGAAGAAGGGAGAGTTTGGCTGTTTTAAAAAGCAGGTATTTGAAAGTTGGAGGATGAGGGGGGGTGGAAAATGAGAAATGAGCAGGAGGAAATGAAAGCAGATGTCAACTTGAAGTCATATGTCTTTACATGTGTTTTTTGCTTTTTAATATACTTTTGAATTTTTAGTTTGTATAAGTAATATTCTCTAATGTTATCAGCAAGACTTCAGAGTACTCTTACAAAGTGGATGGCATTGCTCTATCCTATCAAAAGGGCGAATCTGACCTGGAAAAACTAAATTTACTAATGGTGAACTAATCAAGCTTCACTTTTGGAAGTGCTGACTATTCATTTGGCAGAATTTTCACATGAACTGCAAATATTCAGTATCACAGAGAATTAATATGGGATTCTGTGATCATCCAAATCAAGTACTGATTATGAAACTAGGTGACTTATCCAAATTCAGCCGAGTCTTTCTGTCTAAAGCTTTTTGTTCTAATTTTAACAGTTAATGTTAACCACATGTTCCCTCTCACACAAGGTACTTAGTTATTTTTATAGGACTGAAGAATATTGAAAGACCATAGGGCTTTACAAACAGTCTGTAAAACCGGTTGTTACATTTAAATAATAGTATTTTAATAGAATTTGCAATACTGTGGCATTTTTCATATATTATTGACATACTGTTGCTTTATGAAGTACTAGAAGCTCATGGTATTCAGATTTATGTACCAATTAGTGTCTGTTAATTTTGTTGGTAACAAAAAAGGTTACAGTTCTGAGGTGGGGAAGATAAGAGACAGTTCTTTGCTGTTACTACTTGCATGAAAGAATAACCACCAGCTGATTGTTTCAGCAACGTCTTGGTCTAGGAATGATATAGCGCCAAATTAAAAGCGTCGACATAGGAGGGAAGAAAAAGAAGGGGATTCCCTTCTGAACAGTAGAGGTCAGTTTTCCCTCATAACAGGCCTGAATCTGGCTGCAGCAACTCAGGATTTGGTTGTAACAGTCTAGAAATTATTGTACTTGTTACTCCTGTGGCTTTCTTATGCTATTACATACCTTTGAGTTTGGCAGTGAAATGGTAAGGTGCCTGAATATTTATGCCAGCTGGGTAGGTAATGCAGAAAGCAGGCAATATAGTTTCAGGAGCAGAATCAGGAAGAGCTTTAAGCTGATGGCAAGAGAACAGGACAGAGAAGGTGTTGGGGGGTTATACAGTTATAGGATGAACTACTGTTGAATTACTGTTTCTTGCTGGAGTACATTAATCCCATCTTGCTGTGTTTTAAGAACCTTTAAAGAACAACCATCATAAATACAGGCTTCAAGCCTCTCTGTTGTGAAGACATGTCTTAAGAATTATGGACACCAAACCAAATCTCATCAAGAATATTAGAAAGGACTCTAGATGATGAGGCACTAGTTATCTACTCTTGGTGGTATTCAATAAGTCACACAAGTTTCCATATCTGCAGGACAGCCCACATGGTACAGAGCTTTTTGAATACATAGAGTAGAGTGGGCAGGGAATACAGGACAGAGATACATAGACTCTGTAGAGTCATAGTCTGTCTGCACTGTGCCAGAAATAGAATGAATTCTGCACATATGAAAACTTAAAGGTGACAAGGAAGAAGTGAGGAAAAAAATATATAACAGAATTTAGCATAAAAAGGCAAAACAGCAGGGAGAGTTAATAACAAAACAGCCATTCTAGGGAACAGGATTGAGGGGATGCTGGAAATCAGAAGAGGTGGAGAATACTCGCAGCAGGAGGTAACTATGCTGGAGAAACGTGCAGATATATCTGTGCATATCTCTACAGACATTTAAAACTTGTGTCCTTCAAGCTCAGGTAAAAAATAACTTTTCAGAAGCATTCATAGGTTTAAGGTGATTCTTTTTTGCTGATGTGGTAACGTTTGCTTTGAATGACAGATAGACTTGAGAAAGGGTTGCCGCTCCTGATGTGTTTGCACAGTGAAGTATTGAGGGGGATTTCTCTGGTACTACTGCAGGAGAGATATTAACTAGGTATTTTTCTTAATATTACAAATCCTATGTAACAGTCTTCTCAATTCAGGAATATTCTAGTAGAGACTGAGGAGTTCCAAGCTTAAGGTATGTATTTAAAACTGTTTACATCCTCTTTGTGTCTGCAGAATGCATATTCTAGGCATAGAGTGGATTTTGTCAGATTTTACAAGAACATAAATTAAATTGAGGTACAGTTAATGACTTCTGTAAGAAGCAGATTGGGACACCCTTACTGTACCCTGTATACCTTCTGTAATATGATAAAATATACTCTTCCATCTGTTTAAAATCTGATGCTTTATGCATATGCTGCATCTAATTTATTTCTATTATGATTTTTGATCATCTCTGATCACTTTGTAAAACTAAATTTTCACCTTCACTTCAGACTGAAGAATAGTGTTGTGTGATGAATGACATGAGTTACAGCCCCATGTGGAGTAGAACCTTTTTCCTTGTTTC